GGTTGAGACTTTTATCTTCTCCAAATATTCTGACTGATATATGTTTTGTGCCCCAACAGACTCATTTAACGTTTAGATCACCCGGAAAGCGGACCATTCATGGCCAATCTAATATGAGAAGAATACTGCATCTCTGCAGAACGACTTCAAGTGCCCTTTGCTCAAAGCAGACACCGCTGGGGACCCTTGATCCTTAAGACGTAGCGGACATGTATAATAATAATAATAATAATAATAATATAATACTAATAATAATACTAATGATAATAATAATAATAATAATAATAATAATAATAATAATAATAATAATAATAATAATAATAATAATGATAATAAAAATGAATCATTATTATTATTATCATTTTTTTAATTTTTTTTTAAAATTTATTATCATTATTATTATTATTATTATTATTATTATTATTATTATTATTATTATTACTATTATCATTATTATTATTATTGTTATTTTTATTATTACTATTATCATTATTGGAAAGGGTATTTAAATCAGAATAAAGTGTTTTGCTTGTAGTTCAAGCTAGAGTTCAACTATTGTTATCTCAAATGTGCACCTTATCGAAATAACGATGCGAATTATAATTACGGACTCCATGACAAGCTAAATTAATCATACCCGCCACTCTAGTGTACTGTGCCCTTAGTTGCCCAATCAGTTCCAATGGTCAGAGATTCAGGCCTTGGGTATGAGATTTCCTGATCTGTTCATTCTTTCAATTCGGAAATCGCATCTGGAAATTTATAGGTAGATGAGTGAACAACTGTTCAGTACACCATAGTGGCTGCCGATAGCTAGCTATGTTCGTTTCGTATTGTTGAGTCAATAATTATTTTGCTATTTATCTAGTGAGAAGGCAGTATGAAAAAAACTGCATTGTTTTTATCATCTCTGAGCTTGACATTTTACAGTGAACGCTTTCCAATATAAAAAAGGGTTAATTATGCTTTCGAAGTTTGAGGAGACCCTTTCTGCATCAACACGAGCGTTTATTTCTGTTCTAAAACGGGAAACCGTGTCTATTTCTGGCTGAGACTGAATTTTGTCCAAACAGTTGCAAATTTTAAAGACAAACAGTTCCCTTTAATGCCCTGATAGTATATGGTTGCTAAGCTTCAAGGCTTGGAAAACATTTTTTAAAATCCAATTTAGTTTTAACCACGGGCATATTCTTGTTTGCACTGATCATCAGCACTTTTCGATCTTAAAGACAAACACATAGTTTCTAGAAACAAGAATTCACGGAATGGTGGGGAATGGGAGAGGAGAGAAGAGAGGGTTCTGTGGGGTTGGGGGTTGAGTGGAGGGGATGGCGTCAACATTTTCTTGCCGATAACCTTAGCCAGGAGAGGGACTGGGTTTGAGTTTTCTTTTGTGGGGGACGGAGACGGATGACTGTGCATTTTCTAGAATAAAAGTGTATTAGTAAAGGATACCTAGAGCCTTCTATTTACTAAAAGCATTATCTGAGTGAAACATGGGTGAAAAAATGTAGAAAGCAAAATGATAATGAGTGATGATAAAACAAAAATTGTTCCAGCTGGCAGTGCAAAGACTGATTTTGATAGCACTCGCATGAAAAATTGTAATGTGGAGATTGTAGTATAAAGAAAAGTTTAAAATCTTTACATCAATTTTGATCTCAATTTGTCAGTGTCGACTGAGGCAGAGAATCTGATGAGCTGCACATATTTAGGAATAAGAAAAATCAGTAAAATACGCCATATATCAATACTAAGTATACTGATTTATTAGTAAATAGCTTAGCTTTGTTAAGTTTTGATTGATATCAGGAACATCTCTGAAGAAAGTGAAAAGACTCTAAGCTAACCAAAGAATACTGCACGTTTAGTTTTACAGAAAACAAATAGAGACTCTACGTCTTTTACGGGCACTGCACTGGCTTTCGGAAGAGAAAATAATTTTATATACAAGATAGTCATTCTGTCACAAATGTTTGAAAAATATTGTACCATCATCTTTACCAAATCTATTAAAACTGTAGATTCTAATGCAGTTAAAGGTCATCACCTGACCAAAAAAAAAAAAAGACAACAAAGCCAACAAAACAAAAACAAACAAACAACAACAACAACAACAAAAACTTAAACCATCCATGGAACTTAAAACACAGAGTGAAATAGGACACTTTCATATCAAGGCCTCGTGATCTGGAATGCTTCTAAGAGACAACAAATCTTTTAATTAATTCAAATGTCAGCTAAAGTCATTTCTGTTATTAGATCATTCACATGTAATGTTTTTAATCGGGGTTGAGCGCTATATAAATGTTATAGGCGAGTTCGATTCCCCAGTAGGGAGACATTTTTATTGAGTGTCTCGGTCTTTCTGCTGGGATGTTGTATTCCTCTCACACCGGGTCATCCCTGACAGGCAGGATCCGAAGCCCGCCTCCCAATTTCTCTAAATTGTGTCAATGGGAGAGTAAAACACGTACATTGAAATAATATATATTATTAT